GGAAAGGATGTTGTTACATGTTGAAGTTGAAGCTTCCATATGAGGTTTAAAATTAAAAGAGGGGAAGCTCGGGGAAAGAGATACATCTGATTCTGAAAGAGAGAAGTTTAATAGTCTGGGAAGCCTACCATTGGAGGATAAGTCTAGGAGAGAAGTGGGGATTTTTCCATGGTATGGTGTAAAATTTTGGGAAGATAACATAGATAATATTACCTATACTTTGAAGGGTTTTGCAAATGAAACGATAAGAGGGTTTAACCTTCTGTCAAGACTCAAAGGAGTATTGATAGATAGATATCAATTTTGAATTTTTCAAATGTTTTTAAATATTATGGTGATTTTAGTATTTTGTGATGAATCAAAGAGGGGAAATTGTATGTGATTCATTTTATAAATCATTTTTATATTTTTAGTTGATATTGATGTTTTAATTTGAATGTGTTGTTTTGCAAAAGATACTGTTTGGTCTTTTCTTTTCTTCCAGAAGCATATGGGGGAATGTGTAGAGTGGATTCAAATACTCAAACAGGGACAATATGAAAGGACAATATGAAGGGACAATATGAAGGGACAATATGAAGGGACTGGAGGAAGTGGAACAAGGAAGGTGTGGAAAGGTTCAGATTCCATCATTGACATTTCGTTGGAAGTCGACACTGCTGAGGAGATTAAGTGTAGTGGACTACATTCCAGTGTCTGCAATGATATATAGACATATTTGCATGTGTAATACATAATTTGTGTCATATTCTTTCTGTATTAATTTTTGTAGAATGATATTTGCTGTTATTGGGTACATGTGGGGATCTCAGATGTTTTTGTTTTTTCGTGGATGCTTAGGGATATGGGTCTAGGCAGGGATAGAGAGAATCCACAGGAGGGTCCGATGGGTTGACCAGCCTGAATGTGGACATTTTTGATTGTATTTTGTTTGCTGAGGCTTTCATGTGTATTTAATTGCATCATAGTTTAAAATGCATTGATACAGATGTATGAATTGATCTGGAGTACTTAAGTGGTGCCTGGGGCAGAGGGGCCGTGAGAGAATTTTACTGTCTTGATTGATTGATGGATATTTGGAAAGAAAGCTGCCAGACAGGTTTTTCGCTCTCACACTCCATAAATATTTGTTCATATTTCATAGAAATGTATTCACACTCCATAAAGATTTGTTCATATTTCATAGAAATGTATTCACACTCCATAGAGATTTGTTCATATGTCATAGAAATGTATTTACACTCCATAGAAAAATGTGTTTTTGGTTTATTGTTAAAAGATACTCAATAAGAGAAAAAAAAATATTTGTCATAATCCTATTCTTTTTGTTTTCGAGACTTCATTTGTCTCGAAGGGGGGAATATGTGGTATCTGAGGAATTTATGACTTTGCTAATGGTTTCAAATGGTTTTAGAGGATGTTGACTCAGCTTAAAGGGAGCATCTGGGGAGTAGTTCTATAGGGGCACCCTAAAGCCGAGGAAGTCTGTTAGGTGGCCTCCTGGGATTGGTCTGTAAGGGAAAACACCCATATTATGTTACATAGGGCATAGGATATAAATACTTGGTTAAAACAAAGGAGGACAGAATAACATATTACAAATTGGGGTCCGGTTATTCTCCAGATATTCTGCAGATATCTGTAAATTGAAGCTGTAACACTTTGATATAAATAAACCTTTATAATCAGAGTACAGCGTCAGCGGATTTCCTTGTTTTCACAGCATAATTAGCAACGTTTTCTCGACACCACACGAGTAAAATGGTCAGAGTGAGATGTTCTCACATTTGTGTCTGGAAATAGCTAGCAAGCTAGCCAACGTGCTTGACTGCCGTTGTGAGGTCGGAACGCTCAGATCAACCCTACTCCTCGGCCAGAGCGTCCAGTGACGCGCTCCGAGAGCGAAACGCTCTGAATTTACGAACAGACAATCTGACAACACTTTGAATTTACGAACGCACTCTGAGCGCATTCTGGCACTCCAGATTGAATATACAAACACACCCGAAATTGTAAAATGTCTAGCTAGTCATTTGTTATGGTAAAAAGCTAGCAAGAGGTTGCATAGCAACAGCATCAACTTCCGGTAGACAGGCGAAGAGCTAGTATGCTCAACTGAAAGGATACCCTTGGTTTACAGAATATTAAAATGAACTAATAGTATATAGTATATAGTATATACTCATTAAGTATGTAGTATACAGTATGTTAGTATGGGTATTCGAACACAGCTTGGGTCTTCCTTTCCTGTGGCGGTCCTCATGAGAGCCAGTTTCATCATTGCGCTTGATTGTTTTTGCGACTGCACTTGAAGAAACGTTCAAAGTTCTTGACATTTTCCGGGTTGACTGACCTTCATGTCTTAAAGTAATGATGGACTGTCGTTTCTCTTTGGTTATTTGAGCTGTTCTTGCCATAATATGGACTTGGTCTTTTATCAAATAGGGCTATCTTCTGTATACCAACCCTACCTTGTCACAACACAACTGATTGGCTCAAACGCATTAAGAAGGGAAAAAAATCCACTAATTAACTTTTAACAAGGCACACCTGTTAATTGAAATGCATTCCAGGTGACTACCTCATGAAGCTGGTTGAGAGAATACAAAGAGTGTGCAAAGCTGTCATCAAGGCAAATGGTGGCTACTTTGATGAATCTCAAATATGAAATATATTTTGATTTATTTAACACTTTTTTCGTTACTACATGATTCCATATGTGTTATCTCATAGTTTTGATGTCTTCACTATTACTCTACAATAGTAAAAATAAAGAAAAACCCTGGAATGAGTTGGTGTGTCCAAACTTTTGACTGGTAATGTATATATATGATGGGATGTATAGACATTATGGACAGTATAAGGATAGAATATGTAGTATATCTGTAGAATACTTAAGATAGAATGGTATATGTACAGCAATAGTTAAATAGGATAGGCCTTGACTAGAATATGTATATACATTTGAAGTGGGTAAAACAGTATGTAAACATTATTAACGTGACTAGTGTTCCATGACTATGTACAGTTGAAGTCGGAAGTGTACATACACTTAGGTTGGAGTCACTAAAACTCATTTTTCAACCACTCCACAAATGTCTTGTTAACAAACTATAGTTTTGGCAAGTCGGTTAGGACATCTACTTTGTGCATGACACAAGTAATTTTTCCAACAATTGTTTACAGACAGATTATTTCACTTATAATTCACTGTATCACAATTCCAGTGGGTCAGAAGTTTACATACACTAAGTGGTCTGTACCTTTAAACAGCTTGGAAAATTCCAGAAAATGATGTCATGGCTTTAGAAGCTTCTGATAGGCTAATTGACATCATTTGTGTACCTGTGGATGTGGATGTATTTCAAGGCCTACCTTCAAACTCAGTGCCTCTTTGCTTGAAATCATGGAAAAATCAAAAGAAATCAGCAAAGACCTCAGAAAAAAATGGTAGACATCCACAAGTCTGGTTCATCCTTGGGAGCAATTTCCAAACGCCTGAAGGTACCACGTTCATCTGTACAAACAATAGTACGCAAGTATAAACACCATGGTACCACGCAGCCGTCATACCGCTCAGGAAGGAGACGCGTTCTGTCTCCTAGAGATGAACGTACTTTGGTGCGAAAAGTGCAAATCAATCCCAGAAACACAGCAAAGGACCTTGTAAAGATGCTGGAGGAAACAGGTGCAAGTATCTATATCCACAGTAAAACGAGTCCTATATCGACATAACCTGAAAGTCCGCTCAGGAAGGAAGAAGCCACTGCTCCAAAACCACCATAAAAAGCCAGACTACGGTTTGCAACTGCACATGGGGACAAAGTTCATACCTTTGGAGAAATTTCCTCTTGTCTGATGAAACAAAAATAGAACTGTTTGGCCATAATGACCATCTTTATGTTTGGAGGAAAAAGGGGGACGCTTGCAAGCTGAAGAACACCATGCCAACCGTGAAGCACGGGGTGGCAGCATCATGCTGTGGGGGTGCTTTGCTGCAGGAGGGACTGGTGCACTTCACAAAATAGATGGCATCATGAGAAAGGAAAATGATGTGGATATCAAGATTAAGATCAGTCAGGAAGTTAAAGCTTGGTCGCAAATGGGTCTTCCAAATGGACAATGACCCCAAGCATACTTACAAAGTTGTGGCAACATGGCTTAAGGACAACAAAGTCAAGGTATTGGAGTGGCCATCACAAAGCCCTGACCTCAATCCTATAGAACATTTGTGGGCAGAACTGAAAAAGCGTGTGCGAGCAAGGAGGCCTACAAACCTGACTCAGTTACACCAGCTCTGTCAGGAGGAATGGGCAAAAATTCACCCAACTTATTGTGGGAAGCTTATGGAAGGCTACCTGAAACGTTTGACCCAAGTTAAACAACTTAAAGGCAATGCTACCAAATACTAATTGAGTGTATATAAACTTCTGACCCACTGGGCATGTGATGAAAGAAATAAAAGCTGAAATAAATCATTCTCTCTACTATTATTCTGACATTTCACATTCTTAAAATAAAGTGGTGATCCTAACTGACCTAAACAGGGAATTTTTACTAGGATTAAATGTCAGGAATTGTGAAACTGAGTTTAAATGTATTTGGCTAAGGTGTATGTAAACTTCCGACTTCAACTGTACATGTCTGTCATTGAACAGGTTATAAGTATTCTTCTTGTCACACACACTAAACTCACACACAACCCTTTGAACATAACTGTGCAACACATCCTCTCTTATACACAGGATAAATTACAGATGAGATAGATATATATCTATACCCATCTATAGATAGATAGACGGGAGAAATGATCACAGATTACAGCAATGGAAAACCAATGGCCTTGCCCTTGTGACAACCTCAGCGGTTCTAAAGTCTTTGACTTGGAAAGAGGGAGGAGAGAAGGAGGAGAGAGAACAGGTGTATCAGGATGTGGGTTTGTCTCAGATAAAGGGGAGGAGTGAAGGCAGGGTGGAGTATAAAAGCATAAACAGTAAACAGGACGGGCTATTGTGGCGGGCATTGAAACGATGGAAGTCTACACAGCACTCTGTTTGGTGACTCTACTAGTTGCCCTCCTTTCAAAAGGTAAGAGACGAGATTCCCATTATTCCACTTCTTTCCTTCTATTGACTGGTGACTGGAGTCAAGGAGTTGGTCAGGTTATGGAATGGTGTTGGTGTTGGTGGTGGGTGATATGGGCCGTATTGACTATTTATAGAATACAGGCATAGCCAATAAAGACAGTCAAAGTAGGATGTCATGTGCCTTGTGACACAGGAGAGACCTGTTAGACTGTTTTGGGCCTTGAGGGTGGTCCTGTGCCTAATTTAAGGCAGAACGTTTACATTTGTCAAATATTTGTTTAACAAGCGGATGGATGTATGTTGTGTGAGCTAGGTATAATGTGTGTCCTTAAAGACATTTATCGGTCTAAAGCGGAGCATCATGGCAACATAACATAACTTCATTACACTGCAAAAGGGACAGTGTGTGTATAGGGTTTGTGGACCAGTTGAAGTTATACATCTAATTTCAAAACAGTAAAGAAAGGGAAGGGGGGTTCGAGCCCAAGTTGTGTCACAGCCGGCTATGACCGGGAGCTCCCAAGGGCAGCGAACAATTGGCCCAGCGTCGTTCGGGCTAGGGGAGGGTATAGGCCGGCTGGGGTTTCCTTGAACCATGTTTGCCTCCGACACATTGGTTCCCAATAGATAGCACAGCCACAAAGTCAAAATTGTCTATATCGTAAAAAAAATTAAAAAATAGCTTTTTGGGTTCTAATTTAAGGTTAGGGTTAAGGTTAGGTTTGAAATTGTAGAAATAAGCAGGGTTTATGACTTTGTGGCTGTGTTAACTAGTTACGACCCGAGGGGATGTCTTAGAGGATGCATGTCCGGATCTTCGCCTCTCCGAGCCCGTTGGGGAGTTGTTGCAATGAGACAAGGTCGTAAATACAAAATTGGATAACGAGAAAATGGGGTAAAATTTGATAGAAATTACAAACAAAATTACAGGGAAGGGGACAGCATAATACAATTTATGAGATGAAAGGTGAATCGCACACGTGACTTGGTGACAGAAAAAATTACAAACCATAATTAACACAGATGACTTCCCTCTTAGCCAGCTTGGCCAGGGGCCTAATTTATAAACGTTGCATAATGTCACATTAATATCTGCGTACGCCATTTCCTAAAACTGTGTGCGTGAACAAGCATTATAACTCCACCTGGAAAACACACTTCATTCACCTTTAATGGTGACAATGTATAAGGTTGCCATTCAACACTCCTTCCGTAGCCTCCAACTGCTCTTAAACACTAGTAAAACTAAATGCATGCTCTTCAATCGAACGCTGCTGGCACCCGCCCACCCGACTAGAATCACTACTCTCGACGGGTCTGACCTAGAGTATGTGGACAACTACAAATACCTAGGTGTCTGGTTAGACTGTAAACTCTCCTTCCAGACTCACATTAAGCATCTCCAATCCAAAGTTAAATCTAGAATCGGCTTCCTATTTCGCAACAAAGAATTTCACTCATGCTGCCAAACATGCCCTCGTAAAACTGACTATCCTACCGATCCTTGACTTATGCGATGTCATTTACAAAATAGCCTCCAACACTCTACTCAGCAAATTGGATGTAGTCTATCACAATGCCATCAGTTTTGTCACCAAAGCCCCATATACTACCCACCACTGTGACCGGTATGCTCTTGTTGGCTGGTCCTCACTACATATTCGTCGCCAAACCCACTGGCTCCAGGCCATCTATAAATCACTGCTAGGCAAATCCCCGCCTTATCTTAGCTCATTGGTCACCATAGCAACACCCACCCGTAGTCTGCGCTCCAGCAGGTATATCTCACTGGTCATCCCCAAAGCCAACACCTCCTTTGGCCGCCATTCCTTCCAGTTCTCTGCTGCTAATGACTGGAACGAACTGAAAAAATCTCTGAAGCTGGAGACTCTTATCTCCCTCAATAACTTTAAGCATCAGTTGTCAGAGCACCTTACCGATCACTGCACCTGTACACAGCCCTTCTGAAATTAGCCCACTCAACTACCTCATCCCCATATTGTTATTTATTTTGCTCATTTGCACCCCAGTATCTCTATTTGCACATCATCTCTTGCACATCTATCATTCCAGTGTTAATACTAATTGTAATTATTTTGCACTATAGCCTATTTATTGCCTTACCTCCATAACTTGCAACATTTGCACACACTGTATATATATTTTCTGTTGTATTTTTGTTTTGTTTTACCCCATATGTAACTCTGTGTTGTTGTTTTTATCGCACTGCTTTGCTTTATCTTGGCCAGGTCGCAGTTGTAAATGAGAACTTGTTCTCAACTGGCTTACCTGGTTAAATAAAGGTTAAATAAAAAATAAAAAATAAAAAAATTATTGGAAGTATTGGGATTAGACCACAGCAGTTTCTAAAAGAAAGAGCAAAGGCAAATCTGATCAAATGTTTTTGGAGGTGTTGCCAGAATGTTTTAATATTTTGCAGGACTTCTGCTGTATTTGGCAAAGGACTGTGATTGTTTCTAAAAGGAAAAAAACACGACAAATTGTTGTGGACCTGTTAGCAGAAGGTTTTAATTCAACAATGTTTTGTATTGACTTTTCCACCCAATGTAAATATGCTGCACTGCCTACCAATTAAGAATGATTGTCTACTCAAGAAATTTGAAAGGCTATGTCAATGGAAAATATAAACTGTCTGTTCCATTAAATTATATTGTAAACCGCGCTCCGGATCTCAGACCAAATACTTCAAATAGCTTATCTAATAACAGATGTTATTCTAGAACATCACAGTCAGAAAAGCAATGATTATGGAAATAAATATTTCTATTTTTAATTAGTTCAGATTATCAAAGATAAAATAAACAGATTTTTGCTCTTCTCATTAACGGCCTGCTTGCAATGCAATACTTCAACCACTAGAAATTGTGTGTACGCATGGTCTAAAGTTTACGTGGAGGTAAGCACATTTTCACCTCAAGTTCAGTTTTTTTTTTCAGTTCATATTTTTTAATTGACACATGCACAACATTTGCGGCCTGTATGACTGTGGTTTGTTCTTAGATCTAATACATCTGTAAAGCCAGTATCGATGCACCTGTAAAATGATTGACACTTGGTCTTCCTGTTTGTGCCACTGGACCTGACGTGAAAAAGACATACCTTAATTAGGCCTATCATTTTTTCACTGACGTGCGTGTGTGTGTGTGTGTGTGTGTGTGTGGGTGAGTGAGTGCGTGTGTGCGTGCCTTCTGAAGTGTTTGGAGAGTTGAGCAAGACCAATGAATGGCTTTTTAACACTAGTTCAATGAGCATGTAAAGGAAATGTTGTGCCTTCGGCTGACAATGACATATTCCATCTTAGTGGAAACTTGTGTCACCAATGCAATGCTCGTCTGTCCTTGTCTTAAGTGAGAGTACAGGGAGGAAATTGAGGTTCCAAAGTCTATGAACATTGGTGGTGACTGGCAAGATGTGTTTGTCCTCACACAAAACAGTTGGATGGAATAAAATAATATAATATGCCATTTAGCAGATGCTTTTATCCAAAGCGACTTACAGTCATGCATACATTTTTTTTGTGTGTATGGGTGGTCCCGGGGATCAAACCCACTACCTTGGCGTTACAAGCGCCGTGCTCTACCAGCTGAGCTACAGAGGACAGAATCTTTGATATGTTCATTATGTAACGCAATGAACTTGTAGAAACAAATCTCAAGTCTGATTTGTCTGTTTGCCTCTTTATGTGTTGTATACATTCATTAAAAAATATGACCTGATTTTAATTTAGTGGGTGGAGACTGAATGTGAAGCCAGCCAACCTGACAGTCACACCCACAGAGCACCCAGAAGTAAGGTGCTCCTTTAGCTGCACTGGTCTGAAAAGACAGAGTAGGTGAAAGTGTTAGTATGACAGACGTTTAGCAGTTGGCTTAATTTCACCTTTTAGATGACTTCAAATAAGTAGGTAAGGAGAGGAAGCCTCTTTAGACCATTGATTTGTCACATACTGAGAAGATTCAAAACAATAGTGGAGGCAAGAGAAGGGTGATTGGGGGATCTATCCTTTTTAGTCTTATCAATCACATTTTTTCAATCAATCAAATTTGATTTAGAAAGCCCTTTTTACATCAGCCGATGTCACAAAGTGCTATACAGAAACCCAGCCTAAAACCCCAAACAGCAAGCAATGCAGATGTAGAAGCAATACATTATAAAACGCTACCAAGTATTCTTTCATGTGAAATCCCCTTACAGTCCTACAGTACGGATTACTGTTTGTTGTGACGACATTGCTTCCTTTATAGGATGATTGTGCATTTTTTCTTGTTATCTTTTGTTTAGAGATTTTGTTTCCTGGTGAGCCTGTTTTTCTTTAGCTCTTATCTAAAGATACAGTATATATTTAATCATCCTCTTTATCTTACTCATAAGGCTTTGGTCCACAAATTATATTTATTTAGTATTAGTTCATTAGTATTAGTATACAATATAAAAATGTCTTAGTAATTCTGAGAGTAATCTATTCTCATAGGTTGTTTTAATAGGTAATGTGCTAATTAGTGTTAAACACACATTCTGGACAATGTTAAGTGCACAGTAGCATTAGGTAACACACACAGTGATGAAACTAGTTTTGACAGATGGCGTTTGGCTTAACAATCCACAGACTCATAACAAGAAAACAGTTTGACAGAGTTTGTTCACAGGAAAACTCTGTAGGGACACTAAATACACACATACTGTACAGTATCGTCAGAAAACACAATAATCATTCACAGCCAGCCACCTAGCCAGCCAGACAGACAGAGCTTCATGACTGTATGTAGCTACTATAAAACCAATGGAGTGCAAAGAGTTATGAATTACATGTTTGCCCACAGTGTGCCAAAACCAAACTGTTCAACTGTTTTCTGCTTCTCCTGTTTTACAGGGTCTCACTCTCAGTTGGATGGTAAGTCCCCTCGTTTTTCAATCAAATGTCAGTTATTTTCCTAATTGAACGACATAACCATGCACCTATTCACTGACTGTGAGCTTCCAATCTCTTCACTTCCTGTGTGTGCTCTGTTGTAATCCCTTGTCCATCTGTGTCTTTGTTAGTGTGTGGAATCTCTCCTCTCAACACTAGGATCGTGGGGGGTCAGGATGCTCCTCCAGGGAGTTGGCCATGGCAGGTCAGTCTGCAGAGATCTGGCAGCCATTTTTGTGGGGGATCCCTTATCAACAAAGAGTGGGTGCTGACTGCTGCTCACTGCTTTCCCAGGTGAGGACCCATAAAAAACACAGGGCTCAATTCAATCAAATCCGTATTGTAGTATTTCCACAAACTGTCACAAAGTAGGAATAATAATATATATTTAGATTTTCATGTGATCACATAAAACCACTAAATAGTTTTTGGGACAGTAAAAATACTTTGTAAACAGACTTTCCTCCCCATGTTTTAATTTACCAACCAAAATGAGATGTGGGAAGTAAAGGGAAGACGTTCGTAAATACGATAATACTCAAATATTGCTGAGGTGGGTGCTACCGGCCCTTCAAACATTTAATACACTTTTTCTCAGCACCAGTACATCAAATTTGGTGGTCTCCTTGGGTCGTCAGAGCCAGCAGGGCTCCAACCCCAACGAGGTAAGCAAGACGGTCGCTCAGATCATCCGCCACCCCAACTACCTCAGTAGTACCAGTGACAACGACATGTGTCTGCTGAAGCTCTCCTCCCCCGTGACTTTTACCGACTACATCCAGCCAGTCTGCCTGGCAGCACCAGGCAGCTCCTTCTATGCTGGCACTACTAGCTGGGTCACCGGCTGGGGAACCACCAGCAGTGGAGGATGTGAGTACACAGATATAGCTTGCTTTAAGTACTACTGATGATGGATCAGAATTCTGAGAGATATTGTCTTGTGTATGGGTTGAATGTGTCTCCTCAGTGTCCCTGCCCTCACCAAAGATTAGAGCTGGACGATATGGCGAAACATTTATATTGCGATAAATTGCCTGAATTGATGCGATAACGATGAATGGCACAATAAGTTTATAACATTCATGTACAACCCAGTATTTTTTATTACCCTTTAAACTACTACTACTAGTTTGATTGTTGTTGCCACCAATTTTCCCATTAACAATCACCCATATCAGCAAACTTATTTCATTTCAAATGTCTCTATCATAGGCTACTTATCTTAATGAATAATATCAGCAATGCCTGTAAGTGGTTGGTATGGTCGGTGTCGATAATTTTCCGTTTATCATCCCAGCGTCTGCTAAATTACTAAAATGTAAAAATGTAAATGCAGTGGAGGTGAGCGCACAGATATACTGTAGCTTGCATTAAGTACTACTGATGATGGAACAGAATACTGATAGATCTTGTCTTGTGTATGTTGAGGAGGACCTTTTTTTATGGGTTGAATGTCTCTCCTTAGTGTCCCTGCCCTCACCACAGACCCTACAGGAGGTGAATGTACCAGTAGTGGGAAACAGGCAGTGTAACTGTGACTATGGAGTTGGCTCCATCACTGACAACATGATCTGTGCTGGTTTATCAGCAGGAGGAAAGGATTCCTGTCAGGTAAAATGCCTTTTTGTTAACTAATGTAAAGCATACTGTGTCCATAATAAGTATATAGGTTATAGGTTGAGAGCTTTTGTGAAAGAGCACAGTTAGAAAAATATGGCAAACCAGATGGACATCATGAAAATGATCGGAGGAAGTTCAGGAGTAAAAACAAACAAAATATAATTATTGTAAAATTTGACTGTGTCCATAAAATTTATATAGTATGTACAGTGGGGAGAACAAGTATTTGATACACTGCCGATTTTGCAGGTTTTCCTACTTACAAAGCATGTAGAGGTCTGTAATTTTTATCATAGGTACACTTCAACTGTGAGAGACGGAATCTAAAACAAAAATCCAGAAAATCACATTGTATGATTTTTAAGTAATTAATTTGCATTTTATTGCATGACATAAGTATTTGATCACCTACCAACCAGTAAGAATTCCGTCTCTCACAGACCTGTTAGTTTTTCTTTAAGAAGCCCTCCTGTTCTCCACTCATTACCTGTATTAACTACACCTGTTTGAACTCGTTACCTGTATAAAAGACACCTGTCCACACACTCAATCAAACAGACTCCTACCTCTCCACAATGGCCAAGACCAGAGAGCTGTGTAAGGACATTAGGGATAAAATTGTAGACCTGCACAAGGCTGGGATGGGCTACAGGACAATAGGCAAGCAGCTTGGTGAGAAGGCAATAACTGTTGGCGCAATTATTAGAAAATGGAAGAAGTTCAAGATGACGGTCAATCACCCTCGGTCTGGGGCTCCATGCAAGATCTCACCTCGTGGGGCATCAATGATCATGAGGACGGTGAGGGATCAGCCCAGAACTACACAGCAGGACCTGGTCAATGACCTGAAGAGAGCTGGGACCACAGTCTCAAAGAAAACCATTAGTAACACACTACGCCGCCATGGTTTAAAATCCTGCAGCGCACGCAAGGTCCCCCTGCTCAAGCCAGCGCATGTCCAGGCCCGTCTGAAGTTTGCCAATGACCATCTGGATGATCCAGAGGAGGAATGGGAGAAGGTAATGTGGTCTGATGAGACAAAAATAGAGCTTTTTGGTCTAAACTCCACTCGCCGTGTTTGGAGGAAGAAGAAGGATGAGTACAACCCCAAGAACACCATCCCAACCGTGAAGCATGGATGTGGAAAGATCATTCTTTGGGGGTGCTTTTCTGCAAAGGGGACAGGACGACTGCACCGTGTTGAGGGGAGGATGGATGGGGCCATGTATCGCGAGATCTTGGCCAACAACCTCCTTCCCTCAGTAAGAGCATTGAAGATGGGTCGTGGCTGGGTCTTCCAGCATGACAACGACCCGAAACACACAGCCAGGGCAACTAAGGAGTGGCTCCGTAAGAAGCATCTCAAGGTCCTGGAGTGGCCTAGCCAGTCTCCAGACCTGAACCCAATAGAACATCTTTGGAGGGAGCTGAAAGTCCGTATTGCCCAGCGACAGCCCCGAAACCTGAAGGATCTGGAGAAGGTCTGTATGGAGGAGTGGGCCAAAATCCCTGCTGCAGTGTGTGCAAACCTGGTCAAGCCCTACAGGAAACATATGATCTCTGTAATTGCAAACAAAGGTTTCTGTACCAAATATTAAGTTCTGCTTTTCTGATATATCAAATACTTATGTCATGCAATAAAATGCAAATTAATTACTTAAAAATCATACAATGTGATTTTCTGGATTTTTGTTTTACATTCCGTCTCTGACAGTTGAAGTGTACCTATGATAAAAATTACAGACCTCTACATGCTTTGTAAGTAGGAAAACCTCCAAAATCGGCAGTGTATCAAATACTTGTTCTCCCCACTGTATAAGCTGGAAGTAGAGGCCTAAGCATTGTTGTTCACTAGTTTACTCCAATTAGGGAAGGGGTGGTGGGGTTGGAAAGTAATGAAGGGAAATATAATTTAAAAAAGGATATGTGTGTATGTATGTATGTGTGTATATATATATATATATATATATTATATTATTATATATATATATATATGCGAGAAAAAAAACATGGGGGATTGGAAGTGATGCAGACAATTACATTAATGGAAGTTACAATCTATCTGCAACATTAAAGCTGATCTACCCCCTAAAAAAAAGAAAAAAAAAGATTCATTTTTGTTTATTACAGTGTCAGTCAATTACACATTGGACCAATTCTCCAGACACAGGTTATACCTAATCCTAGAATAAAAAGTATTTTCAATAGAGATTCCCCAAAAATTCAATTCAAAATGCTTCTTCGTCTGAGACTAGGCTTCATCTAGGAAACCGACCCATTATATTTCATAATCCTGTGAAAATTCAATCTCAGTGACACTGTAAATCTGTCTATGCATAGGGGGACTCAGGAGGTCCGATGGTGAGCAAACAGGGTACTCGCTGGATCCAGTCTGGTGTTGTGAGCTTTGGCAATGGCTGTGCTCTGGCAAATTTCCCAGGTGTGTACGCCAGAGTTTCCCCGTACCAGACCTGGATCAACAGCCAGATCACCAGTAACCAGCCAGGCTTCGTCACCTTCTCCTCCAATGGGACTGACTCTGACCTCAGTGTCACCTGCGCTGGTCTGCCATCAGTCGGAACCACCACCACCCCTACTACCACACCTGCACGTACGCACCTATAGTCTAACTTGTGAATATGGCTAAACCTTGATGTGAATCTCTCTACCTCTGTAACAAATCTGACTACTGGATTACTCCCTTTTATCTGTCTCCTCTGCAGCTGTGGTGTGTGGCAGCGCCAGCGCCTCTTTGAACTCCCGTATTGGTGGGGGAAGCTCGTTGGCGACAGCAGGTACCTGGCCCTGGATAGCCAGCCTACGGAAGAACGGAGCACACGTCTGCGGGGGCACGTTAGTGGCGGTGGACTCTGTCATGAGCGACGCTAGCTGCTTCTCCAGGTAAGTTAACTCTACCTGTATGTGAAAGGGGAGAGCAAGTAGTTAAATTCTGGATTAAAATGTCAGTCCTTACATGATTCTAAGGAAATCTAGTCATATAACCTATATTTAGATTTTTCAAGGTGCCATTACATTAACATTTAATGACGCTTTCCTTTTCAAGACTCATGCAAAAGGTTAACCAAGGTTAATTAGTCCGACGTAGGACATTCGTACAATCATTGTGCTAGTGAAAATCCTTTTAGGGATAGCTGTGCAAAAACACCATCCATGTTTTACACAACCAGTGCTGCAGAAAGCATGGCCATGGTGTAATCATCATGTCAATCAGTGTCTGGATGTGACTGCATGGGGCCAACTGCGCGACGGACCTCCGTTTGCGTCACTCTCTGCATGGTTCTATGTACTGAATTTTTGGAACGGTCTGTATACAACGCTCTGTCGCTCTGTTTGCGTAGAGTGTGTAGAGCCCTTTACTGTAATGTACCAAATGGGAGAGCCATCAGCCAACATCTCTCCAAAACTACTGTACAATTCTGGTTTTACCATCCTGATCAGCTGGACAGTTTAAAGTTTTGATACCTTCATAGATACATACAGTGGGGAGAACAAGTATTTGATACGCTGCCGATTTTGGAGGTTTTCCTACTTACAAAGCATGTAGAGGTCTGTAATTTTTATCATAGGTACACTTCAACTGTGAGAGACAGAACCTAAAACAAAAATCCAGAAAATCACATTGTATGATTTTTAAGTAATTAATTTGCATTTTATTGCATGACATAAGTATTTGATACATCAGAAAAGCAGAACTTAATATTTGGTACAGAAACCTTTGTTTGCAATTACAGAGATCATACGTTTCCTGTAGGTCTTGACCAGGTTTGCACACACTGCAGCAGGGATTTTGGCCCACTCCTCCATACAGACCTTCTCCAGATCCTTCAGGTTTCGGGGCTGTCGCTGGGCATTACGGACTTTCAGCTCCCTTTCTATTGGGTTCAGGTCTGGAGACTGGCTAGGCCACTCCAGGACCTTGAGATGCTTCTTACGGAGCCACTCCTTCGTTGCCCTGGCTGTGTGTTTCGGGTCGTTGTCATGCTGGAAGACCCAGCTACGACCCATCTTCAATGCTCTTACTGAGGGAAGGAGGTTGTTGGCCAAGATCTCGCGAGACATGGCCCCATCCATCCTCCCCTCAATACGGTGCAGTCGTCCTGTCCCCTTTGTAGAAAAGCATCCCCAAAGAATGATGTTTCCACCTCCATGCTTCACGGTTGGGATGGTGTTCTTGGGGTTGTACTCATCCTTCTTCTTCCTCCAAACACGGCGAGTGGAGTTTAGACCCAAAAGCTCTATTTTTGTCTCATCAGACCACATGACCTTCTCCCATTCCTCCTCTGGATCATCCAGATGGTCATTGGCAAACTTCAGATGGGCCTGGACATGCGTTGGCTTGAGCAGGGGGACCTTGCGTGCGCTGCAGGATTTTAATCCATGACGGCGTAATGTGTTACTAATGGTTTTCTTTGAGACTGTGGTCCCAGCTCTCTTCAGGTCATTGACCAGGTCCTGCCGTGTAGTTCTGGGCTGATCCCTCACCTTCCTCATGATCATTGATGCCCCACGAGGTGAGATCTTGCATGGAGCCCCAGACCGAGGGTGATTGACCGTCATCTTGAACTTCTTCCATTTTCTAATAACTGCGCCAACAGTTGTTGCCTTCTCACTAAGCTGCTTGCCTATTGTCCTGTAGCCCATCCCAGCCTTGTGCAGGTCTACAATTTTATCCCTGATGTCCTTACACAGCTCTCTGGTCTTGGCCATTGTGGAGAGGTTGGAGTCTGTTTGATTGAGTGTGTGGACAGGTGTCTTTTATACAGGTAACGAGTTCAAACAGGTGCAGTTAATACAGGTAATGAGTGGAGAACAGGAGGGCTTCTTAAAGAAAAACTAACAGGTCTGTGAGAGACGGAATTCTTACTGGTTGGTAGGTGATCAAATACTTATGTCATGCAATAAAATGCAAATTAATTACTTAAAAATCATACAATGTGACTTTCTGGATTTTTGTTTTAGATTCCGTCTCTCACAGTTGAAGTGTACCTATGATAAAAATTACAGACCTCTACATGCTTTGTAAGTAGGAAAACCTGCAAAATCGGCAGTGTATCAAATACTTGTTCTCCCCACTGTATATACTGAACAAAAATATAAATGCAACATTTTACTGAGTTGCAGTTCATATAAGAAAATTAGTCAATTGAAATAAATAAATTAGGCCTTAATCTATGGATTTCACATGACTGGGCAGAACCACAGCCATGGGTGGGCCTGAGAGGGCATAGGCCTACTTGGGAGCCAAGCCCACACACTGGGGAGCCAGACCCAGCCAATCAGTATGACTTTTTCCCCACAAAAGGGCTTTATTACAGACAAAAATACTCCTCAGTTTCATCAGCTGTCCAGGTGGCTAGTCTCAGACGATCCCGCAGGTGAAGAAGCCAGATGTGGAGGTCCTGGGCTTGCGTGGTTACACATGGTCTGCAGTTATGAGGCCGATTGGACGTACTGCCAAATTCTCTAAAACGATGGCTTATGGTAGAGAAATTAACATTCAATTATCTGGCTACAGCTCTGGTGGACATTCCTGCAGTAAGTATGCCAATTGCACGCTCCCTCAAAACTTGAGACATCTGAGGCATTGGGTTGTGTGACAAAACTGCATATTTTAGAGTGCCCTGTCCCCAGCACAAGTTGCACCTGTGTAATGATCATGCTGATCAGCATCTTGATATGCCACACCTGTCAGGTGGCTCGATTATCTTGGCAAAGGAGAAATGCTCACTAACAGGGATGTAAACAAAGATGTGCACAACATTTGAAAGAAATACGCTTTTTGTGCGAATGGAACATTTCTGGGATCTTTTATTTCAGCTCATGAAACATGGGACCAACACTTTACATGTTGCGTTTATATTTTTGTTCAGTATACATAACCCATACATATCACATTCATAAGCAGTGTATATTATTTAATAAATACTTAAGTCAACAACTGCAAGTAAGAAAATATGAACTTGCTACAATCATTAATTGTATTCAAAATGATGACAATATTCATACTAAAGTTAGATGCACTATGCAGAAATCGCGCCGCCATTTGCCTAATTTCAGTTTATGTGACAAAACAAGCAGTCATTGTGTAGACAATCATTGTACCATCTAAACCACTGTGAAATATATTTTCCATAACCAAAAATATGTATTTTCAGCTGTTTGAGGCTGGTGTACAAAACTGAAAGTAAAAGATGCAAAAACAAAACTTCAGAACGGGAAGCAGAGAAATAGCACACATACAAAAGATCTACAGCTTGCTTTCAACGGGAATGAAAGATCTATAATTCACATTTCTATGCGAACTTGGTCGGGGTCGCCCAAAAAGTTAGATATTGTATGACGGGTGCCTACCTAGGGAGTAACACATTCTTCATAACACATTCATAACCCCTACATATCACATTTATAAGCAGTACATAAGCATTTCATAAGACAGCAATCAGAATGAAGAGTTTAGTGTCCCTCACTAAACAGACACAACTCATTCCGTCTCTCAAGCCAGCCCAACGTCTCTCAGTGGACCGTGATCCTGGGCCGTCTGAAGCAAAACGGTTCCAACCCTAACGAGGTAACCCTGAATGTCCTCAACATCACCATGAGCAACCTGACGGGCAACAACGTGGCCATCCTCCTACTGGCCAGCAAACCTATGTTGTCTAACTATATCCAGCCTATCTGTGTGGACCAGGGAATCAGCACCTTCAGCACAGGGACTAAGTGCTGGGTGGCTGGCTGGGGCACGGGCCAGGGTGGGGGTAAGTGGATGGACAACTGTCTGTGTGTTTGTGAGAAATGTGCCTGTTCAGGAACAACCTCTATAGCACCTAGACACTTGTGTACATCTGAAAGAATTGGAAAAGCAATGGTAGTACTGTAGGTCCACCTTTCCTCTGATAGGATAGGTGGGATTTTCACCATATTGCTTACACTCTATCCATGCCTCTCAGATGTACACAAATGCCTAGGGTAGGGGCTGGCTAGGGATTGTTTCCGAAAATATACGACTTTAGGAGTATGGGTGGATGTGTGTGTGTGTGTGTATTGGTATGATAAGTAATACACTCTCTCTCTCTCTGTCCTCAGCTGAGCAAGTCCTGCAGGAGTTCCAGACCTCTGTGGTGGACTGCGTGAATGTTTCATCTTCGGACAACATTTGCACCGGAACTGTGACACTACTGCAGGTATGGTACAGTTGATCTATTAATCTGTCCCGTCTTACTATTTTGCTTGCATCATGTTATTATCAGCACATAACAGTATAACCATATTAACCCATGCTTCTCTCCCCATAGGGTGATGTTGGTGGTCCTCTGATGTGTAAGCAGGGCAACTCATGGTTTCAGACTGCTGTGTTGACTGTCGGCAGCAGCAGCAGCAACACCACTAGCAGCAACACCACTAGCAGCAACACCACTAGCAGCAACACCACTAGCAGCAACACCACTAGCAGCAACACCACTAGCACTAACAGCACTAGCAAAGCACTATCGAGCCAGAGTCCCCGTATCTCCACCATCCAAGTCTTCACCAAAACCTCTCACTTTAAGAACTTCCTGGCTGACAAACTGGGACCCTTTCTATCCCCCACCACCGCCACCGCCACCGCCACCACCACCGCCACAAAGACCACAACCACTGCTACCATTGCTATCACAACCCCCTCAGTTAGTGGCAGCAGTGGAGCTTCCCCAGCCCACTCCTCCTTCTCTCTCTTCCTCGTCCTCCTCTTCTCCCTCTCCTCTGTCCTCCTGTTGGGTTGGAATTGACACTAAGCAACTCCATGGCAACCAAGCCCTTTATGTAACTTTCCACCAATCAAAAGTCTATTTTTCTAGCAATTCATCAATTTCTGTCAGTGACTGGCAGTGTCTGTCAAAGCCAAGATTGCAATGTTGAACTCAGGGAGCCTTCATCTCCAATCACTTGAATGATGAATGTTTACAACTTCCCCTTTGGCTTTGACATAGTAAAGAAAAACAATCAATAATATATATTTGTGCTGTCACAATATTTGTTGTGATGCTATGATTCAATATGCTTGATTTTCTGTTCAAAGCTATCTGGGCATGTGTTACATATTAATATCCAGATAAATATGACCGTAGTAGCACACTCGACTTTCCCCAAAGATTATAGTAGAGTCTATACTGGAGTATCTGTGACCCAAAATGGCACTTTAAGTAGCCTGCATGCACTGAACTATTAGATAGTCATTCTGCACTTTACTGGACATGTGCCATGGATTATTATATACTTAACAAACCACAATGTTATGATGATGGTTTTAACAGACTTGAATCCAAAATCCTGCCTGTCGAAGGTATATTTTGTATGAGATTTTGTATTTCATCATGTTTCTAACTAAGCTTTGAATATGACTGTGTGTTTTAACAACTATCTCGGTGTAAGCAGGGTAATCCTTAAATAAAATATGACACGTTTTTTATTTTCATGTTCTGAAAGCATTTTCTAAGATCTTTTGCTTTACTTGAAGAACCTTGTCTCTCCACCATCTTAAAGTGCTCTATGCAGGAAGTAGTCCTATACTGTATGTCAGTGATGAATTAATACAATTCCAAGACAAAAAATACATTGACAAAAATGTTTCTGTAATATTCAGTAAATAAATGTATGGTTGCCAGTTTGTGTCCCTTTGTCTAGTCAACTGTTTATCAATTTTGATTGTAGAAAAAAATCACAAAATTCGGAGTCCTCCAACAAGAGTCCTATAAATCTACCCTAATAATCCACACTAATCATGGAATTGTGATGACAACGGTCCAATTATCATGAAATGTGCACCAGGCTCCAGGTTTAAACTGCTACGTATGGCCTGCGTTCCATAATGATTCAAATAGGCTACATGTCCCAAATTATTGCACAACTTGTAATACGTTGGCCTAATATGATCCACTATTGCTAGCGATCCTCAGGAACAAACACACGGATGTGACAGAGGAAAGAAAGATAAACTAACGATGTAATGGAATGATGCAAAATGTAAGGAAACTAAAACTAAAGTGACCGATATAAATGTATGTGGGTATAACTGACAGTGGCTACCGATAGCGGCTAATATTTAACACGGTACAAATTGTAAAACATACAGTAAAAAGTCCAGGCATATAATTAAAACATTCTAGAAATCATATATCAATTCGGTAGGTTTGGCGCTATACTGTCATTTGCGCATGGCTACAGAAGATTGGATCTCCAAATGTAATTCTTGCAAGTTATAAGGCCAGCATTTCATAAACTTCACTGTGGAGAAGGTGATGAGTTTAGTTTAGTTTATTAGGATCCCCCTTAGCTACTATACAGCTACTATTCCTGAGGTCTACATAAAACGTACAAACACATTGACAAAGTATAGAACAGTAATTGACAAGAACAACAAGATATTACATGATTGTAAATAAAAATACAAAAATAAATAATTTCAGGAATAAAAAAAATGAATGCGCTTAACAAGTCACATAATTTAAACACTGTAACTTATGTGCAACTTATTTTTGAATGGCACCCTCATCTCTGTACCCCACAAATACAATTATCTGTAAGGTCCCTCAGTCGTGCAGTGAATTTCAAACACAGATTCAACCACAGACCAGGGAGATTTTCCAAAGACATTGAATATCCCTTTGAGCATGATGAAGTTATTACACTTTGGATGGTGTATCACTACACCCAGTCACTACAAATATACAGGCATCCTTCCTAACTCAGTTGCTGGAGAGGAAAGTAACCACTCAGGGATTTCACCATAAGGCCAATGGTGACTTTAAAACAGTTAGAATTTCATGGCTGTGTTAGGAGAAAACTGAGGATGGATTGTCGTAGAAATATTTGACTAATAATTAATCAACTTAAAAATATTTCTCAAGAGACTGGAACTTGTGAATTTAGACTTTTATTATTTGCATAACAAAGCCGAGCTTGCTCCATGGAGCAACAACTGCTTGTCCTGAACCGGAGTGCTCCTTTTTATACAGACACATGCATAGCCACACTGATACAGCTGATAGTTCCTCCCTATGTGAATGAATAGCATCTTTCAGTATCACATGTTGGCTACTCACGAGGGCTACTTGCGCTTCTCTAAATAGGGCCTCTGTATCTTATTAGTGGCATGACTCAAAAAATTATGTACATACGTACGTTAAAGAACAATCACACTCTGTATTGACTATATTCACTATGTAGGCATGCATCTGGAGTACAAAGTATCAATTATGTTCATTCTGTTTCACCATTATCATTTCATAACACATTATAAAACATATCCATTAATACTTAAACATGATTTAAACATGTCATCCATAACCCATTCTCAACCACATACATTTAAGCATTTATCATTTATCATCCTCCCTGGCCCTTGAGATTATGTGCATGTGGCCATGTGTCAGGTCATAAGGTCATAAGAAAAACGAAATGATAACACTAGTTCCATTGTTACTCCAATCTCCACACATGTTATTGACATACTCAGACCAGCTGCAGGGAGTTTATGAAAAACACATAAATGTCTCTGCTCTGTATTAACCCTTCAACTGGTTCTCAATCCATAAACATTTTAAGGCATATAGGTGTTTAATTCTACAACATATGTACTTGAAAATCATCCATAGGATCAACAACATTGTAGTTACTCCACAATACTAACCTAAATGAGTGAAAAGAAGGAAGCCTGTACAGAATAAAAATATTCCAAAACATGCATCCTGTTTGCAATAAGGCACTAATGTAAAACAAAACAAGATGTGGCAAATAAATTAACTTTATGTCCTGAATACAAAGGGTTATGTTTGGGGCAAATCCAACCCAACACATCACTGAGTCCCACTCAAGGATTGTGGTGGCTGCATCATGTTATGGGTATGTGTCACGATCGTTCATGAACGAGTCAGACCAAGGCGCAGCGTGATATGCATACATGTTTATTTAAAGGAATAAACAACCGACAAAACAAAACGTGAAGTCCAAGGCAGCACAACACAACATACCTTAACTGGAACAAGATCCCACAACCCACTTGTGCCAATAGGCTGCCTAAGTATGGTCCCCAATCAGAGACAACGAGCGACAGCTGCCTCTGATTGGGAACCACACGGGCCAACATAGATCTATACATACTAGAATGTACAACATGGACAAACACAGCAAGGAAAATACACACCCTGACTCAACATACAAGAGTCCCCTGAGTCAGGGCGTGACAGTACCCCCCCGCCCCACAAAGGTGCGGACTCCGACCGCACAACATAAACATAACAGGGTAGGGGCCGGGCCGGGTGGGCATTCCGCCTCGGAGGCTGTTCCGGCTCAGGGCGTGACGACCACTTACTCTCCGCCTCCCTGTTGCGCCCCTGGTCTGGTCTGGACCTCGGCGCGCTGCTTCCCCTCTCCTTCCTCCCACGAAGTACCAAGCCCTGTCTGGACCCTGGTGTGGGAGACCCCGAACCTGGAGAGGGTCTGACGTCTGGGTCTGGACTGGAGCCGCTGACCGGAGCTGGACCGGGCACCGGTGGAGCGGACTGCACAGGCTCCGGACTGGAGCCGCTGACCGGAGCTGGACTGGGCACCGGTGGAGCAGACTGCTCTGGCTCCGGAATGGAGCCGCTGACCGGATCTGGACTGGACCCCGGTGGAGCGGACTGCTCTGGCTCCGGAGTGGAGCAGCTGACCGGAGCTGGATCAGGCACCGGTGGAGCGGACTGCTCTGGCTCCGGAGTGGAGCCGCTGACAGGAGCTGGACTGGACCCCGGTGAAGCGGATTGCTCTGGCTCTGGAGTGGAGCAGCTGACCGGAGCTGAACTGGGCACCGGTGGAGCGGACTGCTCTGGCTCCGGAGTGGAGCAGCTGACCGGTGCCGGACCAGGAACCGGTGGAACAGGCACGGGCCGTGCCGGACTGGACACACGCACCACTGGCTTGGTGCGGGGAGCAGGGCCGGGCTGGACCGGGCTGGCGACGCGCACCACTGGCTTGGTGCGGGGAGCAGGAACGGGCCGTACCGGACTGGCAACGCGCACCACTGGCCTGGTGCGGGGAGCAGGAACAGGCCGGGCCGGGCTGGCGACGCGCACCACTGGCTTGGTGCGAGGGGCAGGAACAGGCCGGGCCGGGCTGGCGACGCACACCACTGGCTTGGTGCGAGGGTGAGGAACAGTCCGGACCGGGCTGGCGACGCACACCCCTGGCTTGGTGCGAGAGGCAGGAACAGGCCGGGCCGGGCTGGCGACGCGCACCACTGGCTTGGTGCGAGGGGCAGGAACAGGCCGGACCGGGCTGGCGACGCGCACCACTGGCTTGGTGCGAGGAGCAGGAACAGGACGGGCCGGACTGGCTTGGTGCGAGGGACAGGACTGGGTTCCTTTATTAACCCCCG